AAAAAGAAAACCTAGAATCAGGTCCTGACAGAGATTTCTCCAGACTCAATTCCTGTGGGGCAATACAGAACTAAAAGTCAGGAAGGCTCAGTGACTTTTCAGAACTGTGTGGTTTAAGTGGTGTAAAATTGTCCCTGTGGGGCTGGATTGGCTAGCCTCCTTTCTGTGTCCCCACTGAGTATGACTGCAAATCCATTGCAGGTCCTGGAAAAAGCTTTGCATGGTTCCAGGCTCCCAGTTCAAGCAGTAAAGGTCCTTAAAACTAATCTGTGACCCTGCTTAACCTGAAGACCAGGATTAAGAAGGGTACTTACAAAGTAGCAAGACACCTCTCTGTATGACAACAGGAGGGGAAATGTCAAGCGAATGGCTTCTAGTTTTTCACACATCAACTTCGTTCACAAGAAAATACCCATTTGCATATTGTAACTTGTCCACTCTTTCTGGGTGGAAGCTTGTTTTTTACCCCCAGAAAAGAATAATGGAACTGATCATTAACAAAAATCTCTACGACTGATTGAATTCTCCCAAATGTCTCTTTTGGACATTCCTGTAGTCAGAATATATAAGTGTTTGGGATGAATATGCTATTCTAACATCAAATAAGAAAGAGAAATACTAATGATATCCTTCTAGGGCAGCTTAAACAGCTTCCACTCGACTACGCACCTAAAAGGAGTTCTGGTGTGGCGCTGTAGGATAAGTACTGGACCTCAAAGTTGGTGGTTCAAACCCACCAGCTGCTCCTTGGAAACGCTTTACAGGGTTGCTATAAGTTGGAACCAACTTGATGGTATTTAACAACAACTCATCTAAAAGGTGATGGTTTGAGCCCACTCAGAGGCACAACTGACTGTCAATCTGCATCCATAAAATTACAGAAAGAAAAAATCATGGAGCTCAGTTATATTCTGTAATACCTGGGGCAGCCATGACTCAGAATCAAGTTGATAGTAGTAGGTTTTATTTTCTTGGTTTGGGTTATATCAAAAGATGGGAAATCAAGTTGCAGATCTAAATTTTTCTGATGGGGGTGGGTTGGGGAGAGGGGATGATCCAATCACTGTTAGTGGTTCATTAGATTAATAAACCAAACTCAAAACTAAATTCACGGCCATAGAGCCAATTTTGACTCATAATGAACCAGGTAGCATTTTCAAGGCTATAAATCTTTATGGGAGCAGAAGACCTCCTCTCTCTCCCAAGGAGAAGCTGGTGGGTTTGAACTACTGACATTGTGATTACCAACTCAACACATAAACCACCATGCCACCAGAGCGCCTTTGATTAATAAATGTCTCTGCTCTCAAATGTAATATCTTCAAAAAGGCAATTCTCTAAAGTGAAATTTCAAGCATCGGTGGATAAAAGTTGTCTTTCAAGAAAGGGAGATCCTGTTCCCTGAGATCATTTGACTGAGGCCATGAGTATCTTCCCCATGAACCACCTTGGCCCTACAGACCTGCTCTTCTTAAGAAACCCCTCGAAACAATACCACAACTTTGGTGAGCCTGCAATGACTTAGAAAGTGTCCTGAAATCATTTGTTCCAGTTGGAAATTGGGCTTTTGCCTGATTATAACACATGGCACATAACTATTAGTAAATATTAACACTGCAAAAATGTGGACCAGCTGACCAGACAGATATGGCTCTCTAGCAGAGAGTTCTATTACTACCCCTTCACTATCCACACCTATGCTTAGTGAAAACCTGAAAAGAAATATGCCAAAATTGTTAACAGTAGTTACCTCTGTGGTATCAAGGAATTGGGTATGTGTATGGAAAGAGCATACTGATGAAGATCAAAGACCACAGCCTTCGATATGGGTTACACCTCAACGTAAAGACAACAAAAATCCTCACCACTGGGCCAATAAATAACATCAAGATAAATGGAGAAAAGATTTAGGTTGTCAAAGACTCCATTTTGCTCAGACCAACCATTAACACTCATGGAAGCAGCAGTCAAAAAATCAAATGATGTATTGTATTAGGTAAATCTGCTTCACAAGATCTCTTTAAAGTATTGAAGAGCAAAGATGTCAGTTTAAGGACTAAGGTGCACCTGATCCAAACTATGGTATTTTTAATTCATATGCATTCAAAAGCTGGACAGTGAATAGGGAAGACCATAGAAGAATTGATACATTGGAGCTATGGTGTTGGAGGAGAATATCGAAATGACCATGGACTGCCAAAAGCACAAACCAATCTGTGTTGGAAGTATAGCCAGAATGTTCCCTGGAAGCCAGGATGGCCAGACTTCATCTCTCAAACTTCAAACATAGTGTCAGGAGGGACCAGTCCCTGGAGAAGGATATCATGTTTGGTAAATGTAGAGTTGGAGAAAAAGAGAAAGACCCCCAATGAGATGGATTGGCACAGTGGCAGCCTCAATGGGCTCAAATGTAGCAACAATTGTGAGGTTGGCACTGGACCAGACTGTTTAGTTCTTTTGTGCATAGGCTCACTATGTCAGTACTGATTTGATGGCACCTAAAAACAACAATGGAAAGAGCGTGCATCAGGGTGGGGATAAAAGATATTTATAGTTTGAAAAAGTAGGCCCAAAGGACAAATATATGAGATCACAACTGTCAAAAGTCAAGAAAAGATTTACAGACAGAAAGAACGTTCTTTGAAGGTTACTAAGAGTGAGAGGTGGAGCAAGTGTAGACAGCATTTACTTGGGTGAAGAGAAAGACAACATACAATAAAGAGAAGGTCAGTACAAAATGATCGAGGCAGAGGAAAACACTGAGAAGAACAGAAGAGTTAAAGACAACTAAAGCAAGTGCTGTTACTCATACATACACAGTCCTATAAGACGAGTCATAACAATAATCTATGACACACAGACACATACGCTGAACAGGTATGGGAAGGTGAATGAGGCTACACACATGAATACATATAGGTTTGACAGAGGATATATTTAATGTGCTGCAAATATACCCATAAATATAGTAGAGCATATAGGGGGCAAATTTTTGAAAAAAATCTTACTTATGATCAAACACCTTAAGGGAATGAGTTGTTGGGGATTCAGGATCATAGTCTCAGGGGACACCAAGGTCATTTGGCATAACATAGCCCACAAAGACAATGCTTTACATCCTACTTCCATGAGTAATAACTAAGGTCTCAAAAGCTTATGAATAGCCATCTAAGGGCCAACTGTTAGTTTCTACCCATGCATAGCAAAAAAGAGTGAAGAAAATCAATGATGCAAGGAAATAATTAGTCCACAAATTAATGGACCACACAAACCTTAACCCTGAAGTTGGTACCTAGATGGTACCAGACTACCAATGCTGACCTCTCTGAAAGGATTCACAATAGAGTGGGAGAAAAATGTAGAACAAAACTCAGTCATCAAAACAATCAGGTTTACTGATTGTCAGATAAAGGCTTGTGGGACCTCCAAGACGATGGCTGTTAGAAACCCTTCAGACTTAGAACTGAATTTACCACAATGGCTAAACTTTTAGTCAAACTATTGTTGTTGTTGTTGTTGTTGCTTAGTGCCATCAAGTCAGTTCTGACTCATAGCAACCCTGTATAGGATTTCCAAGGAGTGACTGGTGAGCTTGAACCACCGACCTTGCAGTTCAAATAGACAGGACTTTAATATGAACAATAAGACCAGGACAGTATGCACTCCTAATGGACAGTCAGTCATAGGAGATCAAAAGGGCCACATTTTCTCAGGTATAAAGCTCAGAAGGCAGGAAATGATAGGAAAGAAGGACAAATGGAAATGGGAAACAAAGGAAGAAGTAGGAAGTATGCTGTTACACTCTGAGATGCACAATTAATGTCATGAAACAAAATGTGTGTGAACTGTTAAATGGAAAACCAGTTTGCTCTGTAAACTTTCTCCCAAATCCCGGTAAAATGTTTAGTAAAAGAAGAGAAAAAATAGATTCACCCCATTCCCCTGGGTTATTCCCATTAAATCCCTTCTTGCCTGCCTGAACATTGAGAATAATTTATTTCAATTTTCTAGATTTTGTCTATAACTACAACAAATGAATGACAATTAAAATATAAAATATTGAGTTTAGGAGGGAGCTGACCTTTAATGACATAAAAACCATGACATTTCCAGTATCACACAGTCTAGCTGACATTAGGTCTCAACGTTAAGATGTTTCTGCAAAGAGTCACTAACTACACTAAAGCTTGTTTACCTCCAGCCTGGACACTTTAAATCCTTTGAATTTCTGGACTCTGAGTCCTGCCTCCGGTACACAGATATGTCCACATCTGCCAGGACCACAGACATAGCCAGAGATAAAATCACACCTTCGTTTCCTCAGAACCAGGAAAGTTCTCTCTCAACCTACCCAGGCAAAGAACTGAAACTGAAATATATGACTAACTAATACATGCTTCCATCTCTTCACCATCAGAACACACTGAAGCCCAGGATCTGACTTGAAAGTTTATGCTTTTTCTTAAAAATTTTAGTCACCACCTAAACAGAGTTGAAACATATGCCTCTCAGCACTGAAATGAATCCAAGGTAATCAGGAAAAGAATATAAAATCTCTCTCCTAGTGAGTCCTGCACCATGTGTATATTAGAAGACTTTCCTATTGGCGTTTGAAGGCATATTTTCATTCAAGGACTGCTAATTTGATTTTTCCTAAGTAAAAGCCCTCCCAGACAAAGAGGGAACTGGTATCCTTGCCACCCCCCATCTCCTCCCGCTCCTCAATCACTGCTTTTCAGCTTGCAGTAGGCAGTTACTAGTAATGATTTCCATTCAGAAAACAACCCTCAATTACACACACATACATGCTGAGTAAAAGAATTAATTTGTACAGTATGTTCATTGCTTATTTTCTTCTGGAATACATGACAGATTTTTATGGAGGCTGGTGGAGGAAGGGAAGAACCACATTCAAAACCCAGCATCATTCTCCTTTCCAATGTCATTTCAAAAGCCAGATAAAAGCCAACTGAGGATGCTGGGGAAAGAGTGTACAACATAGTCATTCTGTAAACCACCCTCCATTTCATTCTGGAGCCGGGAGGTTACACCCAGGCATCACAATAGCTCTTCCCTCACAGAGAATTAGCTGGTAAGTGCTTTCCTGTTTGTTTTCCTCAGACTGACACTTTTACAGCTGACCTTTCTTGCAGATGATTTATTTACAAAACAGCAGTTTATCTAAGTACCAGCTGGCAAAAAGGGAAAAAGGACTTCTGACAGTTTGCAAAAAGCTCTATCTGCAGATTTTTAATTTTTGATCCTGTCAAAAGTGTTTAGGAATCATACGAGGTTCGCTACAGCTGCAGATTAAATCACAGAAAGAAAGAAAATGAGGACGTTGGGGGAGGGAAAGGACAAGGAAAAGCTTTTCAATAAGTATCTCAGCTGTTACCTAGATAATTACAGCTCATAACCTTGGACATGAAATACTGTGACCCAGAAATAGTCAAACATCATTTATGGAAAACTCATTGTTGAGAAAACCAGTAGGAGAAAATGGTATTCTGTGACACAAATTGATATTGGTCTCTTTAAATTACAAGGTAGGAAAAAAGTTTAGAATGGAGTTGCAATGTGAGTTTTTTGCTTTTATTTTCTTTTAAAGATGAAAGCTTGGTGGTTTTTGGTTGTTGTTTTTTTTTTTTTTTAAGTATTCACCCATTTTGTTATTGTTGATACATTTTTTTAAATCTCACAATCAATTGCTGTTAGAATAATTGGTTCCTGTACTCTCTTAGTGAAGAGCCAGTGGCTAAGTGTATGGAAGTAGCTGGTAGAGAAGGATTCTGCTGTTTGGTTATTCCTTTTGTAATCAGATAACTATGAACACCAATTGCCTTTAGTCTGCTAGTTTACCCTTTTCTCCAAATAAAGACTAATGAAAAAATTAAGAAAGAATAATGAAAAGCAAATAACAAGTATTGACCCTTGGTTTTTGAGATAAACTGATTTGCTCAAGAATCTATAAACCTGTTGCTCATTTAATCCACTAATGTTTTTTGTTTCTTTTTTAAAGACGGTCAAGGGACGGTTCCCTGAGTCTTAAATTAACTAGTACAAGTAGTTCCTCTAAGTTTCATCCTGTTTGCGTTATCTTCCAGACACTAAATGATTTTTTTAAGTTTTTTTCATGGCATTGATTATAATTTTATCTCTGATTTAAGTGATTTCATTTATACAAGTACGTTTTCTATGTACCTTAACCACTAACTGTCATCTTTCTGGGGTAGACATTTAATCCAGTATTCCCTTTTCAAACCACAATGCTTCGGAGTAACCGTTTTTGGAAAGTGATCTGGAAATATGTATGTGTACATGGCAATATATTTATTATCTTTGACCTAACAGTCCCTTGCCTGTGAAAGTAACCTACAGAAGTCATTTTAAAAGGAGTAAAGCTTTATGCTCACATTTTTCTTCTGAATTATTCATACTTGCAAACATTGAAAAGCAATATGAATATCCAAGAGCAGGAGGGAAAATAGTTGAGGAATTATTTTTTATCATCTTAGTGGATAATTTTGCAATCTTTAGAAAAATCCTAATTTGGAAGATTTTGTAGTGTTAAGGAGGAGTGTTTGTGTTACAGTGTTAACCATGCTTACAGTTAGGTAAAAAAATAAATGCACTTCAAAAATTTAAAATATTCAAAAGTAACAATATTTGTGTTAAACTAATGTTGAGCTTGTGAGTGATATTTCCCTCTGCCCCCACCCTCTTTCTCTAATAATGTATTGGTGGTAGTTGTGAGTCTGTTACCACTCATAGCAACCATGTGGAGGGTTTTTGAGATTGCAAATTTTTACCGACACAGAAAGCCTCATCTTTGTCCTACAGATGAGGATTCAAAATGCTGACCTTGTGATTAGCAGCCCACTCGTAACCCACTATACTACTAGTTGTTGTTGTTGTTGTTATGTGCCATCGAGTCGGTTCCGACCCATAGCGACCCTGTATAGGGTTTCCGAGGGTATAAATCTTTACGGGAGTAGAAAGCCTCATCTTTCTCCCGCGGTGCAGCTGGTAGTTTCGAACCGCTGACCTTAAGGTTTGCAGCCCGATTCGTAACCACTACGCTACCAGAGCTCCTTACTACTAGAGTCCATAATAATTTATAACTGTTATAATTTTTTAAACTTTATAATATTGAGAATTCCTATCAATTGTTTTCTTTTCATCTCAATTTTCATACAAACCACAAAATTTTGAATCCTTACATCTTGTGGGGCTATTGTTGTTGGTAAGTACCATTGAGTTGGTTCCAGCTCGTAACAGCCCAATATAGGGTTTTCGAGGAGATGCTGCTGAGTTTGAACTGCCGACCTTTTGGTTCAGAGTCCAGTGCTGATCCCACAGTGATCACCTTTAAATCAAGACTTATAGCAACCCCGTGGTTGGGCTATTTTGTGCCATCAGGTAGACTCTGCGTAGTGGGCAACTCTATATATGACAGAGTAAAACTTGCACCATAAGATTTCCCAGCAACCATATGGGGGAGTCCTGATGTGGTACTATAGGGCAAGACTAGAGGTTCAAACTCACCAACTGCTCCTCAGAAACCTTATGCATGGTTGCTATGAGTCAATACCAACTTGACAGCACTTAATAACAACAGCAATCTTTGGATAGCAAACCTATAGATCTTCTTCTCCCACCGATCAGGTGGTGGGTTTGAAATGCCCACTCCTTGTCTTTTTTTTGCTTGGTCTGCATCCTTTATGGTGGAGCTAGTCAGTCCTAATCATCTGATTTCTTTGATAATACCAACTTTAGGAAACGCTTCAACCTCATAAAACATTTAATGAAAATTATAAAAACCAAGGCACAGTAAAAAAAAAAAAAAAAAAAGTTGTTGTTCTTGTTAAGTGCCATCGAGTTGGTTCTGACCCATAGTGACCCTGTATAGGGTTTCCAAGGAGCAGCTGGTGAGTTTGAACCACTGACCTTGCAGTTCAATTGGCTTTGCAGTCTGGTGCATTAACCCACAGTGCCATAGCAGGACTCAAAAAAAACCCAAAAAACAATAGTATAAACATAAAAAGACAGAAAAATTAACTAATTAAATGAAAATTACTAATATACCATTCTCTTGTTTTTGTTAAATGTCCTGAATTCTGAATTCTGTTCTGATTTATAACGACCCTGTATAGGGTTTCTGAGGAGCTGCTGGTGGATTTGAACTGCCAACCTTGTTACTAGTAGTCAAGTGTTTATCCTACAATGTCATACCAGGACTTACCCAAAAACACTGTGCAATTTCCAAATCTGCCTCAAATCTCAGCTTCATGACATCTTTATGCTTGCAATGAGTCAGAATCAACTTGAAGGCAGGGGGTCTATTTTTTTAATGTTTGCTCTTTATGTTTTGCTCCAGTCACCCCAGAATGCTAAGCTTCTGTTGTATACAACCTGAGGCAGAGCAAACTCTCTGGACCTCAGTTTCCTTTCTTCAAAGCCAACCTGATGGAGTAGGTTCCTTTTCTCTTTGACTTCTACTTACTTAGTCATTGTTCACTATGATAAATGTACTGGATGCCTAGGATGCACTGTAAGTATTTAGTGAAAGAAAGAAACAAACAAAACAAAACTTGTATCTGGGTTTTATTGATAGCAAAAAATAAAAGTTCTTCATTGGTCAAGAATATGGTGTCTTCAGAAATATGCAAAAGCTCTTTGCTAGAATTTATCCATTCCTTCCTTCAAGCACATAGATTGGCCAGATGGGTGTTGTTGTTGTTGTTGTTAAGTGCCATCGAGTCGGTTCCGATCCATAGCGACCCTGAACAGGGTTTCCAAGGCTGTAAATCTTTATGCGAGCAGAAAGTCTCCTCTTTCTCCCGCGGAGCAGCTGGTAGTTTTGAACTGCTGACCTTGTGGTTCGCAGCCGAATTCATAACCACTACACTACCAGAGCTTCAAGCACATAGATTGGCCAGATGGGTGAGTAGAGGGTATTTGATTGATCATTAGAGATGGAATGATTGATTAAAGGGCAGGAGCTAGTGCTGGAAGCAACAGTGTAGCAAACTAACCCAGGGAGAGCCAACTGTCCATCCTTTGTCTCCTGTCCAACCTTGATCTCACTGGCCACTTATTTTGCAAATAAGATCAATTCGGCCATGTAAACTTGAATGTGTGAAACGCTGCATGCAAAAATCTCTATAGGACAAGTGCAGATACAGACTTGGTTTACAATAAAAGAATTTATTAAATCTTAGAAGGTATGTTGGGGCTTTTGAATGTTTTAATTTTTGTTTTGTTTTATTTTCAATTTTTACTACCATACTCAAGCAAGATACAAATTGGAAACTTGGACTACTTATTTGGAAATTTGCTATGTTCTTTCATTGTGTTGTTGTTTATCATTAACTAAGCGACTCCATCTGCATGTGTCCCCTTCAGTCAAGCAAACACTGACTGTGTGGTGGAAGGAGATAAGGTTCTAATAGGTTCTTGCCTACAGTAAGCTCAGAGGTGAGCTGCCTGGAGAGGGTTAAGTTCTCAATAACATTAACGATGATGATACTCTCATTTAACTCGGTAATAATGGTTCTAGCTAAAAATCACCACAACATAAAATACAAGTATTGTGGATTCGACATAGTATTTCAAAATTTAAAAGCCAGATAATACAGAGAACTTTCAAAGTCAGGCTCACCCAACTAAGACCAGGAAATGTTCAAATGGGCTTTGAGTGGCACTTTGAAATTGAAGAGTGAAGTAGAATAAGGAAAGAAATACAGAGATTAGATAGACATTCAAGCAAAATTTAACTAGTGGGTGAAGTGGACATCCTTGTAATTCTAAAACAGGAGGTCTTCTGGCTTTCAAGAAGGCAAACTCTTGATGATAAAAGTTCCGAACAATAGTTTGGTTTGGTACCAGATAGATAAAACCAAGAAGGTAATTCATTTCATAAAGTTTAGGCCATTAAGTTCAAAAAGAAAAAGTTCTCTTCTAATCTGCAAAATTACACAAAAACAAATCAAATTGCGTATTTCATAAAATGACTTCCAATGTTATTTCACACCTATTACAAATTTGTTGTTGTTAAGTACCATCGAGTCAGTTCTGACCCATAATGACCCT